ATATACACACACACATACATATACACACACACATTATATATAAAACACAGAAGACAATCATAGTTTAGCACAAATGTTGGAGAATACCATGTCCAGAAAACAATCAAGTCAAATTCTTTGTGGATCAAAGTTGCACCACCTTCTATGATGGAAAAGCAACCGAGCTTTCATATGGAAACCGCTGCTCACCTGTGTAGTACAAATAGCGAGCCCACTCGTTGTTGTTAGCCAGCTCAGGAAACACTGACTTAGACACCAGTTTTTCAGCCTGATCGTACAGGTTGTAATGTAGGTAGTTTCTGAGAAGCAGGTTGAGCAGTGTAGCCTGCCCATCAGCATCGTGCCTGAGTGTGGCTGTACGCAGTCTTGCATGCAGGAAGCTGTAAGATGATATATTATTGAGTCACCAATCAAAAGCAGAATGCTGAAATAAAATACTTGGACATCTCACCAATTCCATAGTGATGACAAAAACTATTTAAAAGCCGATTTTGTAAAATGATATTAAGGCCAGGAGAGTCATTCGAAAAGTGCTTGTAAAAACTTGTGGCCAATGTTTTGTTCATACAAAGACCCACAAAGGTGAACCTGCTGCAAACAACTTTCTCTACTAGGAAAATTATGTTTGAAAAATAAACACAATACCCGTTATCTAATTTAACAATTATGTTTCCAGGTACAGGAAAGGGTCAGGTGACTTTTCCTTTCCCAAGATGCAGTACTGCCCTTAGATTAGGGGTCCTCAAATCCCCGGGCCGTGAACCGCTGCTGGTCCGTGGCCTGTTACAGAACTGGGCCGCAGCTGCTGGCAGTCCCGCTCCCCATCCAGGGCCAGAGAGGAGGAGAGCGGGTCAGTGCAGAGACTGAGAGCTGGGCATTGTGGGGATGATGGCCGAGTGGAAGTGCCGACAGCTCAGCACCGAGCCGGGGACATGTTACCTGGCTTTTGTCCCTCGTATTTCAGCACCAACCTCCTTTAGTTCCCTTTACAGCAGCACTATAAGTCAATCAGGCTGTGCCGACAGTTAATTGACCGTTTATTTTTTTGATCAATTAAAATCGGATTTAAAAAAATGAAATACCATTCTTAATTTAAAAAAAAAAAAAAATACACAAATGCAGTGTTAAAGTTTACTTCAGAATAAAACTGCAATGTTTTGCAATCACACTGCAATGGAACGCATGGCATTGAGGTACTGTCCGTTCCAGTGCGGGCCATCACACTGTGGGTTGGAGGCGCATTTGGAGTGCCATTGAGATTCCACTAGAACGCAACTTCCGCAGCAGAATTTGTCAGCCCGAAAACCAAAATTGATATTTCCCCCACCTTTTATAATTTTTTAAGAATAATAGTATAGCACATGGCGCTTGAATAGCTTTATCCAGGGAATGACAGCTGCCAGTGGCAAGATTCCACAGACGGCAGCTAAATGTAAATACAGCAGGTAGTGGGCTGGGGCAACCAGCCAGTCTGCTATTGGCCTTTTCAAAGTGCAATAGCAGGCTGGCTATTGCACCCGCCCACTGCTTGATGTGCCCTCCTCCCAGTCTTTTAGGTAAATTGGCCAAAATGTCTTATTTAGCATAGTTTCCTAGAGGGCATTAACTCATCATTAAATGATTTTACTTATTGTTCAGTGCAGCTCTCTAAGCCTTGGTTTGTTGCTCACCTTCTGACAACATCCAGCTTGTTGAGAAACTCATAGCTACGAGAGTGGTAATAATAACATTTTGCCACTACGAGATCCAGAGCTCGCCGATTCTGAGAGCTGATTTTCTGCATCAAGTCATCTGACACCTTTTGCGCCTGTGGGGAAGGAGAAAAACATATTTATGTCACCAAACATCACAGAAATTAGATGTGTACTTTAATTGAAGAAGCACTAATCTAAAAGCAAACCTGCACTCTGCCCATGTAGGTCAAAGCAACAGGTTTATTTTAATGCCCCTCTCCCTGGCAGCACACATACTTAACACTCGCTGCTTCCTACCTCTAAGTGACAGTGCTGGGCCAAGCACACACACGGTCACCTGAGAAAAAGAAGTGTCACATGCTCCTCCATACTCAGAAGTACTGGGTATTTCGTTTGCTCCTGGTGGCTGAACAGTGCTGCATGGGCAAAGTGTGATCATGGGAAATATCTGCATGATCACTGGGAAGCAACTAGTCCCAACTGGCACCACAGCAAACCAAAATTTGCCTACCCTTGCTATAGAGGAATAAAACGATGTAAAAAGAAACTGTCCTCTCACCTCTGTGTAGTGCTTGCTGTTCATCAGATAGATCACCAGAAGGAGCTGCAGGTAAGCTTCTACCTCTGGAAGAAGAGGGGCAGAGGCTGCCTTTCCTGTTCTTGGCCTGAACTGCAAATCTCCCTCTGTATCCATCATCTGTGAAATCAGACAGGAAAGAAGAAAACGGTTAATAAAGACATACAAATGGTGTGTATTTCGCTATAAAGTTAATAAGTTATGCAACACAAATGTTAGCGTTATTACTGTAGTTACAGTACGTATCTCATGATAAATGTTATCTGTAAAATCCCCTGCCGTCTCTGGGGGGAAATTATCAAAACTGGAGCAGACTAAATCTGGAGCTGTGCATGGTAACCAATCAGCTTCTCTCTTTCATTTTCAAATCTTAACTGTCCAAACTGAAGAGAGACGCTGATTGGTTGCCATGCACAGTTGCTCCACATTATGTCTGCTCCAGTTTTGATAAATTCCCCTCTCTGCATAAAAGGAACTATTACACTAAACTACCAATCACAACCAGACAGAAGTCTGTGATGCTATCTGACCATCTCCCTTTGCTGATTTGGCACCCACCAGTCCAGACCTCAGTGGAACTCCACCCCCCCCCCCCCCCATTTTAATAATGGTTTGTCTGGCAACCTGCTTTGGGAGAGTGATCAATGGCCTTCCTCCTGATTTTCCAAAACATTTCCCAGTTTCTACACAGAGTGTGCTATTTTGCCACTGCCTCCATCAATTGGATTGTATCCTCCAATGAGTGACAGTGGGAAAAGAAATCCTCTAATATTCCAAACTTGCCATGCACTATACAATCTGATTGTACGATCTCCTTCATAAAACCAAGTAATATCAAGGCAAAACGAAACAATCTGATGAATTTATACCAAATCAGGCAGCCCCTTGGACTACATAGTTGATGGCAGCTCTAAATGAGATTGTACAATCAGACTGCATAGTGTATGGCCAGCTTAAGAGAGAACCTTTCCATATGTTGAAACAAGGAAGCACAGCATACTATAAAAGATGTGATGACTTCCAATACAACAATAGTCAATTGAAGAGATGGATTCTGCCTGCTCTCACCTCCTCCAAGAAGCTCAGGAGCCAGTCACGGGTGGTAGTGTTGGAGGTGAAAAAGCCATTAATAGCTTTGTGCAGGACATTGGGGTTCAACCGACGGGATGTAGATGGCAGGGCTCTCAGTGCACGAAGAACAAACCGCGGCTCCTTTCCAGACACCGCCTTCTCAATCTGCTTAACATGTTCCTTAATATCTGCAATACATAAAGAAACATTAGCACATATCAGTAAAATGAATAAAAACACAAAACTACATATTAGTAATACTTCATAATAAAGTCAAACACATACAAACATAGTTCAGTGTTGCGCTTTACAATCCTCTGCACGAAAAACCACTCTGGCTCTTCCTATATCACCCTCTCCCTAGTATTTGGGCAGAGACGATGATTCTGATTAATTGTCCAATGAGAGGGCTAGAGTTCTAGAAGCTAAATTGTGGAATAAGGAGATAAATGTAACCTTGTCTGTAGAATATGACAGAGGTGTGTTTAGCCGTTTGCCTGGAGTTCAGCCTTTAACATGAACCCATCCCGAGATTGTTATTTTATTTATATTCAGCAGTGGTGAAATGAATCCCCCACACCTCGCTGTGACTTTATTGACAAGGTCTTCATGACACACTATAGCAAAGGATCTTGCTTTTCCCTAATGACACATGTAGAGTTTATGGCATTTATGTCCTAGCGTGGTTAGGACACAGAGTATTATGTTCATGTGCAAAATTTGAAGCCCAGACTGCATCAAAATGGGAATGCAGGTGTAGCTCATGTATCTGTATATATGATACTTGGGGAATAGGTGTTCAATCAATATTTCTGCTTACCTCAACTTTTCTTTCTAACTGAATACCTAGAACAAAGGGCCCCAGTGTCCCCTATATACTGCCATCTTACAGAAAATGCCTTGCAGTACTGCTTGGTTAATTGCAAACACTAGTCAGGATGAAAATACTTGACTCAGGCACAATTTTGGATATAGTGTCAAATCATTGTGAGCTCAAGGAACTATCAAAGTTGGCCAACTGTGATAGTTCCTTGAGGTCACAATGATTGAGTTTCACTTAAACTTATAGCAATAAGAATTTCAGCCACTGCAAGGCGACTATACAAACTGCCTTGTTTGCAAGTGTGAATGGGGCCTTACCATCTCTTTAAAAAAAATACAAACAAACCCTTACCTTCTATAAACAGTGGTGTGATATACAACTGTGTTTAACACTTTGCTTGCTTTAGGACTCCAAGCAAATCAAACCCAATTGCATTCAATGAAAGCAGAGATGAAAAAAAAAAGGAAGAGGAGAGTCTGGTCACATGACCTGTCATGTAACTGGCCCCTCCACCAATCACAGGCTGTTCTCTGCAATGTTATGCAGAGAACACTCCAGGGGACACTGCTGGCTCCACACCACAGAAGCCATGGACCATAGGCTTTAAAAATAGTGTGAATGAAACACTTGATGTTTTAGCATTTTAACCACTTGGTGCCCAGAGTAATTTCTTACATTTGCACACACACACACACACAATAAAATAAGATTTTTTGGCTAGAAAACAGCTTCAGACCCCCAAACAATTATATATTTTCTGAAGGAAGAGGCCCTTTAGAATAGAAAAAAATACTAGTTGCAATTTTTATGTTGCACGGTATTTGCGCAAATGTTTATCATACCTGTATTTTTAGGATAAAATGCACTAAAATGAAATTTAGTGCACAGAAACAGAATATGATACCCATTTGTTGGGGTAAAATATAAAAGATGGGGTCACGTCAGGTAAATAGATTCCCAAACATGTCAAGCCTTAAAATTGTGTGCGTCCGTGACACCGCAAAAAACGACAATAACCCAAATTTCCCATAGGTGATGCTTTAAACGCTTTTACGGCTCATCAGTTAAGTGCCAACAGTGATTGACTGGCCTAGAATTATTGCGCTCACTCCGACATGTGGCACAATTTGTTTGTGTACGTAGGCGCATCCGACGCGTGTTTGCGTAGTAAGTACGTGCACGTGGGGGGCTTAATTTTTTTTCTGCATTTTTTTTTAATGTTACTTTAAATTTTTACCATTTTTTTTTTACACTCAGCTCCATTGCCATCGCATAGGGGGCTAACAAGCCCCCTATGTAATAGCAAAAATAATGTGACAGGTCCTCTTTCAGACCCCTAATGTCACCTAGGGACCCCAAAGAAGCTGATGAAGCAGAGATCTGCTTCACCAGCTTCTTCTTCTGGCTCTGTGCCCAGTGACACCGGAAGTGATGTAATACACATCACTTCTCGGTCCAGTGATCGCAGGAGAGATCAGTAGCTGGAAACTGCTGATCTCTCCTCTAATCCAGCAGGGGAATCCCACCACGGGGGACAGTGGAACCCGGGAAGCCGACAGCGGCACAGGCGGAGGGGGACACGGCGCTGGACTGTACAAGCGATCTGGCGCCTGTATAGAGACGCCGGATCGCTTGGATTTAAACAGCAATCGCCGGCTGTTTAAGGCCCCGTTCACATGTAGCGACGTGTAGCGCGATATCGCGCATTTTTGCCGTGCGATATTGCGAGAAGTCGCCGGCCAATGCTATTCAATGGAGCTGTCTTAACTCCATGTCGCTCGTCGCGGTCGCAAGTCGCTTCTACCGGACCCTTTTTTCAGCGGTATTTGCTTTTTTCTATGGAGCCCGACGGAGAAGGTCGCGCTACCGTCGCCCCGAAAGTCACGCTATCCCAGCCGCTGCAAAGGTATGTCGCTACATGTGAACGGGGTCTAAAACGGCACCAAGAACACAGCTGCAGCAGCCACTGTGTTGTTGGTATAACCACTTCCAGCGGATTTACGTGAACCCGCTGGAAGTGGTTAAATTGAGCCTCATGTGCCTAAAGCACAAGAAAACCCAGATTGAGCTTTGCAGGAGATTTCCAGGTGAATAGTAAATCTGGATGTGTTGCAGAGATTCACAGACCTCGCACACAGTTCATGATTTGCAAGCGCTCTTTTATTTGGGAGAACCTGGTAGGCCCCATTCACCAGGAAAGCAGCAATGTTGCCTGCTCTGCTGCAAATGAATCCCCTATGTGCTAATATGGGGAACTACAAGTCACAGCATGCCCTGGTAGTGATGTCTGGTACCTGCAGTTCCCCCACAGGCTTACACAATGACATATACTAGAAGGGGCCAACCTGGAAGATGACAAACAATAACAGAGACAAGAAAGGATTGATACCTTCCAGGGTGACACTGTCCAGCTCCTTCTTCCCTCCCTCGGCGGTGCTGCTGCTGCCGCCGCCGGCAGCCGGCTCCTCCTCTTTCATCTCCACGTCCTCCGGTTCTCGTCGTTTAGCCGTAGCCTCCTTCATCCTGACCACCCGGTGCCTTACGAGCTCGGTTTCCGCTTCCGGTCCGGGAATGACTAGCAAATCTCTGGCTCGGACGTAATGCAAAGGATGCCGGGAGGAGCGCGCAGGCTGGATAGGAGAGTGCCGAGCGCATGGATGCGGTCGCTGAGTCACTGGAGGTGAGACGCGCTGCGAGGGCTGAGGGAGTGCAGAGAGCAGCCTGGCTGTGGCGTGACATCATCACATGCTACAGAGATGCTCGAGCAAGATTTTTCGCGGCCAAAATGGCTGTAAAATTATTCCAGGCAATGCTGGCAGCAGAGAGCAGCCCAGACGTCAATGACTGTGCATAATTCTTACAGACATAGTAGTATTAGAATGCCCATAATGATTAAATAACCTTTAGTATGCAATAACAAAGGGAAAGCAATTCAGTAATTATGTATTAATGTTTTGAGTACATGTAAACCTGAACTGAATGATTTTTACCGGCTTAGTCACAAAAGGATGACGAGTTTGAAACAGGCAGGAGAAGTAAACAATCTAGGCCAAAATAGCTGGACCGGAAAGTGAGCTGAATGGGAGAATGTTTCCAAATCAGCTCTCTGCAGGGACATGATCAAGAAGTGAGAGCGACGGTATGCGTTCGCTCACTTCCTGATCTATTAAGCCGACATGTGACAGTTTCATTGTCGCATGTCAGCTCGAACTCTGAGGTTGAATGAAAATCACTCATAGTTCTTTAAAATGTATAAATACATAATTAGACATGCTGATAGCTTAATTGGCTCCTGTCTAAACTGGCCTTGTATGTATGCATGTGAAATAGGGACCTTAGATTGTAAGCTCCTTGAGGGCAGGGACTGATGTGAATGTGCACTATGTAAAGAAGTGCGTAAGTTGTGAGCGCTATAAAACATACCTGCATCTCCGGGATGAGCAAATACAAGAGTTGTGTGTTCTTGAATCTTGGTGAACTGTGTGTATTACATGCAGATCTGTGCAGTAATCCAGTGTGCACCTTTTCTCCAAGATATGCTTATAGGGTCAGAAGAAGGTCCAGTGTATCCCATTCAGTTTGCAGTCTTCCTATATAAATGCACCAGGGCCAGCATATGAAAAATTATGGCTGATTTGGTGGGCAGCAAGTTCCCCAACCTCCTTTGCTCAGATGCCCAAGGCCATAAAGTAAAGGGAAATTAGATTATGGACAAGTTATACTATTTAACTGGAGTTGTGATGGTAAAGGTGTAAACCTGGCTTGAATTGTATGCATTATCCCAGAAATGTAACATTTTCTTAGAAGGTTTCTTCACACGGGACTTTCATAAAACCAGCAACAGAGACCGTACAGTATCCAGTTATGCAATACGGAATGTTACCACTTTTTGTGGTTCGCAATAAGACATGAGGAAGGTCCATATGAGTGATTATGTCAGTGCTGCACAAGTGAATTGATAGGTCAGTGGGTGGAGGTGGTAGAAGACAGGCAAATTGGTGAAGCAGCAGTTGTAGGGTGGTGGATTGTTGGCATGACAGTCGGGAAAGGGTCATAAGTGTACTGCTGTGTGGAAGGGTAAGGCCTACAGGTGAGTTGACAGGGCTGTGACGGAGGGAGTGAAAAGGGAAGAGATGGACAGGTAAGGGTCATGGGTCAGGTGTAAGTAGTGCCATACAGACAGTAGGGGGAGAGGATGAACAGGTTAATGAAGCAACAGCTCCAGGTCTGTAATCTTTCACCATTGTATGGGGAAGAGGTTCATGGCGAGGAGCACAGGTGAGAGGGAAACCCATGGCCACCAAACTTTAGGATGAAGCTAGGGCTTTATGGGTGAACTTGAAAGAGACGATTGTTGGGAATATAGGTGATGCAACAGCTCCAGGTGTTTGATATGTAAGTATGATGGCAGTAGGGGGGAGGACCTTCACAATACAGGTGAAACTGTAGCCAGGATTGATGTCATGCCAGCCGCAGTTGATGGCCTTGGAAGTTGCTGTTGCTCCAGGCGTGAGTATCAGGCCTTTTATGCATGGCAATGTGTGATGTACAAAGTACTTTTATTATTAATTTTATATTATACAGGAATTATATAGCGCCAACGGTTTACTTAGCATTGTACAAAACAAAGAGAGGCAGCTACAATAAAATTCATGACAATAGGGTTAGGAGGTCCCTGCTTGTGAGAGCTAACGATCTAAAAGCTTTGGTAGCTCTTCATATGCCCCTTGGCTGTTATCTTGCTTGAGATTGTTTTTCACCCCTTACCCCCAGATATGAATTTACTATATATTTTTTCTTCATATGGAGTAAGCCCAGGTTTCTATTTTAACTTTAGAGGGAGGGTGTAGGTCATTTAATATTGTTTTGCTATTTTGATTTAATACTTCTGTAGAGCTATCACTTGCTCTGCTGTTGGTTCTTGTGTTACAAGATTTCAAATATTGGGATTCTATGCAACCCTAGGCATCATAACCACCACCAAGGTCGCTAGTGGTTTAACCCCACGCGTATAGCGACACATCCAGCTTTTGCCACTTTGCTGACCCAAACTTTAATATCACCTCCATTTTTTTTTTGTAAAAGATGTTTCACATTTGACTGGCTACCAGTAAAGAGTAAGGCCACTTTCACAGTTTTTCAGGCGGACCTGATCGGAAGCCCAATGTTAGCCTATGGGCAGCTGGATCTAAACGGATGGGTGTCTGTTTACATCTGGTTATCCCTGGCTTTTGGCCAGGTCCAGAAAAACAAAGGAATCAGAGTTCCATTTCGCCGGACCTGGTTGTGCCAGATTGGGGATAATCTGACGTAAATGGACACAAGTCTGTTTACATCCGATTTTCCCATAGACCAACATGGGTCCGGTAATTTATTATTATACAGGATTTATATAGCGCAAACAGTTTGCACAACACTTTACAATATAAGGAAGACATTACAATTCAAGACAAGATGGAAAGGAGGGTCCTGCCCCTGGGGGCTTACAATCTATTAGGGAGGGGGAAGTGATACATGAGGAGGTAGCTGTGTGGGGATGAATTGTATGAGAATGAGATGGTTCAGTTGTTAGGTTGAGGTGGGATAGGCTTCCCTGAAGAGATGAGTCGTTAGGGATCGCCTAAAGGCAGTCAAGGTGGGAGATATCCGGACAGGCTAGGGTAAAGAGTTCCAGAGGATGGGAAAGACTCTAGAGAAGTCCTGGAGGCGAGTATGGGAGGAGTTGACAAGGCAGCTGGAAAGCAGGAGGTCTTAGGATGAGCAGAGTGGACGGTTAGGGTGATATTTTGAGACAAGGTTTGAGATATATTCGGGGGCAGAGTTGTGGATGGCTTTATAAGTGACTGTTAATATTTTGGTGAAGGCGGCAGGATTTGGATAGTGATTGGATTGCAAGATGAGGAAACAAACTAGACAGACATGGATGTCACAATGGTGACATCCGTTCCGATCAGCAGGGGATCCATGCATGGATTTCCTCCTGATCGGACTGAAAGGGGCCTTATTAGAATCTGCAATATAATCTCTTATCTTTCTGAAGTTAGATGATACATGTAACTAAATAAGTAAAATATTTTGTATCGCAATTTATAAAATGTTTCAATGTATGTTTTAACCTGTTACTGAGGATTTAAGATGTGAACATGTTTGGTGAGGGCCACAATCATGACATCTAGTGGAATTGCAGGGGACGGATCATTGTGAGGGAAGCCAAGTGGTAGTATCCATTTATAAGATTCATGTAAGCTAGGAGACACCATGCTGTATAATGAACAAGGTTTTCTACTCACAAATTGGCAGCCTTCCGGAAGGATCTTGTGAACATCATCATCTGCACTTAAGATGGGCAAACAGTTTTTTAAATAACTCCCAATATTTTATTATCTGCACTAAATTGAATAAAAAATGTATGGAAAGTAGATTATTGTGTTTTTTCTTTGTGTTACTCTTGGTATTGTTTTCAATTTGATCTTGCCTTGACCCTCTCAATGTTTTCAGCCTGATACAACACCAGATCTCTTCTGTCCTTTAATCTTTTCTCTGCCACTCTGCACTACTCTTCGTATAACCGAATAACTATTTTGCTATGCCGTTTTTCACCTAATGAATTTAATTGGATGGCATTTCTTTGGATGGCAAATCTTTTCTGTATGTGATGTTTATAACTGAAGCTGTACAACTGCCACGACTCAGATTTAAAGTCAAGAAGTCGTATTAAACTCTCCAACTTTTTTTCAATAATGAATCCAGATAAAACAAACAAACATGCATTGGCCAGCAATTTTTTTTTTACATCATGTTTCTGAACAGCTGACTCCAACTCTCTGTTTGGCTTCGCTGAACATTCTGTCTGGTACAAGATCACATGGGACAGAGCACAGTCTACAGCAGCTGTTCATCTAGCTTGGAGAAGGGAGGAAGGATAAAGGAGGAGCAGGAAGGGGTGAAGGGGGGGGGGGGGGGTTGCCTTCCCCTGCTGTACCTGTGTGTTTGTGGAGACACACACAGCTTACTAGCACACACAAGGGTGGCTCCATAGGACTCTGCAAGGCAAAGCAGCCACCCTAAAACAGGATATCAGGACTAGTGCTCAGGGGACCAGCTGATTCTGCAGGAAGGTTAAACCTTTAAACACCAAGGAGCAGCATCCATAGCAAGTGATTCAATCAGCATCTAAAATAATTTTGACTTTAATATCACTTTAGTAGACATAACATGTAGGCTTGGTGTTCAAAGAAATGATCATTAATATAATAAAAATAACTTGGCTCTGTTCCACAAGACATTATTAAAGTATATGTAAAGCCAAAACTTTTTTTAATATAGTTTTGGATAGTAAATTAAATGGTTGAGATCCTTTTCCGTTTCAGATTTATTTTTTACTCTCCCATCAAGGAGATTTAATCTTACTTCCTTACCCAGAGATGCAGTAAGGGAAAGCGATGTGTCTCCAAAATAGGGGATAACCCCTCTTAGACAGTTGTCACAGTTATGATATCTCTCAGTTTGCTGGCACTTATATTGTTCTCCTGAAAGTGAGAAAATCTCTGTGCACGGTGACAGCAGCAGTTTCAGTCACCAAAACAGGTTTACCCAATTAAAGATTTCCTCTCATCCCCTGTTAATGTGACAACTCAAAAATGTTGGATTTCCCACCATTTTTTGTATTGAAGACAATG